AAAAAAAAAAAAAAAGAAATTGAACTCTCGAATTGAGTTTCAATTGAAAAATTGAACCAACAAACTGCGAGTTCTCATATAAAATCGCAGAAATGCATAATGCTAATTTTTTGACGGACGTTCGGCATCTTTAATGAATTAAATCTAGTTAGAAATTCTATTTCTCCACTGGTGTCTAACACTGTAAATTTACATAAGTATTTGCAATGCAACGATCAGCATAATGTGCAATAAAAGTTACTCCAAGAACGAGCGAGATCGAGTTGAGTAACATTAGCGTGGAAAAGTAACCGGAAGAATCATTAACGAATCGTTTAATTGCTTCGGATTGTCAAGGGATCCAGTATTGCATCTGGCAAGAGTAGATTGGGGAAGAAATTTCAATTAGAAATGGTGATCATTGCTGCTGCATCGTTTATGTAATTCCTTTCTTTAAAATGCAAAAAAAAAAAGAGGAAAAGAAAGAAAGAAAAAGAAAAGAAAAGCGATATTGTGTTTCTCATTAAATTCGACCAACAACGTCTCCCACTGAAAAAAAAAGCTTTTACCTTTCTCTTACTGTTCTTTAAGATGTTATTAAAGAAATATTCCTCGCGGGAGTTGTGACTTTTAACACTATTCACTGCTTTCAAAGAAATGTGACGACTGCTCTCCTCCACAGAAATTGCATTTTCTTTTTAATTTTAATTTTTCTTTTACTAGTTCTTTGATAAATAATTAACTTAATAATTAATAATTAAATCATAAATGTATTATATTCACAATATTACGGCATGTAATATAATTATTAAATTATTAATATTATCTAATATTTAATTAGGTAATAAAAATTATTACTATTAAAGAATTATTAAGTATTTATTACAGATATATTATATTAAATGTATTAAAATTATAGATATATCCAAATGTATTAAAATATAGATATATCCAATTAAATTAATAATTTCTTTTAATTATAATTCTTTTCTTAGATCCTAATTTTTATTGTACAGAATTTATTTTGATTAATTATTTTGATACGCGAGAAATAAATCACGTGTAAAGGACACGTGTCATTCGACATTCGATGCATTTCATGTTTTACAGCTCTTTAAGTGGATCATAATTACAAATATTTATGATATTACTTTCTCGATTAAACGAAGAAACGAGTTGATCGTCAAGCACATCGACGAATTACAAAGGCCATTAGCCACATGTGGATCGAAACGGTGATTACTCGGTGCTTCAATACTTGATAACACAAAGCGAAAACAAAAAAAAAAAAAAGAAAAAAAGAGAAAAGAAAGGAAAAAGTTGCTAATGGAAGTGTAACGTGAACCTCGGGGATATCGTCGTCGGTCGATAATCCATTAATTAACTTCGAATTGGAAAATCGATCGTTCCCCGTAATTTTTAATAAAGGAGCGAGAACGAAGGTAATGCCAGTTTCTATTAGATTCACATCCTCTCGGAATATTGAAGCTTTCGTCGCGAATTGAATTTTAATGTAAAGGGCAATACAGAGTTTTGGTTTCTCGGATCTCTCGATCAATAGTTTGAGAATAGAGCGCGAATTATATCGTGTTATTTATCTTTCACAAAATTACGGATGACTCGCGTAACGCGAGAAAATGTAGAAAAAAATAATCGAGGAACAATTTTCCACCGAAGTTTTTCTCTACGTAGTTAATTCGTCAATGACTTTCACGCACATATAGCACATTGTTTTTTAATAGCAATTGGCATTCTGCGAGAGGTGTAAACGATGTACACATGTAGTTTTGTGACAGGCATATAGCCCGATTGTTCGATGCTAAATATAAAATGCAACTTTGTTGTGAAATTTCTGTTATATTTCTAACAAAGATTTCTCACGCGCTTTCAACGTTCTACTCTGACTATTTTTTATGGGCATTTTTGTATCCCCAAAATTTTCCAATGCAACGAATATGTAAATACCCGTAGTCTAATTATAAATATTTCGTACATTTCACACTTCCATATACATAAATATATAGTTAAAAATAACTGAATCAATATATACTCGTCCGTTTTCTCAAAGAATCGTGAACTTGACTGCCTAGATCATCTTCCCTAAATTTATACTCTTTTTTCATCAATTTTATTATCGTGCAAATTCACGATACTTCACTACGATTATCGTAGTTGAAAATTTTGTGAAAATGACTGTTTGTCTAATTTAACCACGATCATACTCTAGTCACCCATGACTGACGTAGCAGTATGAAAGTATCACATGAGACTCGCGATTCTCCATCGACTAATTATGTCGAATAAATTTCCGAAATTGCTCTTTCAAGTACTTACTTTTCTCATCGTCGTACTCGTCCCTGTAGAGTACCTGTCCGTCACCAGGATCGCCGTCAACGTCCTCCCTTATCACATACGGCCTCGCGTTCTCCTTGTTCTCCAAAGTGCACGGCAGGGTCAGGCCAAATCTAACCGGTCGACTGCTGGAAGAATCGCCACGAAACACATTCGATTGATTATTATCAACATTCTTGGTCAAATGAAACGCTGGTTGACGCTACGTGAACCAATTGTTCTACTCTACGACGATTGAAATTACGTATATATATATATATTTATATATGGAGGGGGATGAAACAAAGATACACACTATCACTCGTAAATGTCTGGACACGTAGTTTGAAATTTTATCAAAGTAAATAATAATTAGAATCTCTACGATTGATTGGATTTATTCTCATGAACCCAAAATTTTTTCATATTTTTTTTATAAAGCGAATTAAATCGAGTTTATATGTTTATGTTACACCTTGAATGTACTTTAAAATTGCATTTTTGCTGCTTTAAAGAGTACTGCAAGATAAGAAGTTTGTTAATTGACAAACCTTTTAAAAATCAACTTATGAT